CTTAATTCTTACCCACAGGCTTTCAACCTGCTCTGCCTCTCCCCACGGACAGACCTCAATACATCTCAGTTGCTCTCATACATGAAGGGCAACACCACTGCCTCCCCTTGTTGGTCTGTCTTTCCTAAACAGTACATAGCCAGCCATGACAGCATTCCAGTCATGGGAGCTTTCCCACCATGTTCCAGTGATTGCAATTATAGCATAGTCCTGCAGCCTAATGCAGACCTCCAACTCCTCCTGCTTGTTCCCCATACTCTGTGCATTGGTATACAAGCATTTCAGAGAGGGAGCGAACCCACCAGTTTTCACTTTTGCTGCCTGACTATGCCTGGCTGGTACCGTGCTTACTAACTTGCTAGTGAGTCCTGTCTTATTGTCATTGTCTACCTCAAGTGGGACAGCAGGCTGCAGACTGTCCTCAGGCACATCTCTCATGAGCCTGGTGTTATCCCCTTCCCTCGTCAAAGCTAGTTTAAAGTCCTGTCAATGAGCCCCACCAACTCCTGTATGAGGATCCTTTTTCCCCTTGGAGACAGGTGTGATCCATCTGCTGTCAGCAGACCAGGTGCCATATAAACCTCCCCAAGATTAAAGAACCCAAAATTCCAACGGTGGCACCAGTCTCTGAGCCATGTATTAATCAGGTGTGTTTTCCACCCTCTTTCAGTATTTTTCCCTTCCACTTGAGGGATGGATGAAAACACCGCCTGAGCCTTGGACTAGTCACCAGTTAGAAATTCTTGATTAAGTCTTTTCTTGAACTTTTCCTGAATTTTTTTGATTCCTTTGAACTTGTCTATATGAAGATGTAGATGCCTTGCGTTTGTTTGAATCTTGTTTTGTTTTGATTTGACTTAGTGATGAAGATACAGATCTTAATTCTCTGATAAAGTCTTGGCTAAGAAGTCAGCCAGAAGAGTATAGATACAACCTTGAAAATTGGATTGGGGACTATTTCCAAAAGGCCTTAAACTGGGTTGTGAAGAAGGTTAGTAATGAAGTGCTTCATCAAATTTCAGCTCCTGTTAAGGATGATCCATGTTTCTAGTTTATCACTGAAGATAACATTCATATTAATTCTTAAATTTTAAGTAAAAAAAAAAAATCATCAGTGCTTCTTTTGATAGCTGTTTTCTTAATAAGTTAAATACTAGAACTACTGTAGGAAGTTTCTAAAAACTGATTGCTGTGCTTCAAGTTTTGAAACATTTGATACAATATTACAATAAAAATACAGTACTATACAATATTTGATACAATCATACAATAAAGAAAGCTAAAATTTGGAAAGCTGCACAGTGTGTACTGAAGCTTGTAATAGGTTGGGGAGAAATGTAATGCTAGATACCTAAAAAGATTGATAAAGGCATATCTAAAAAGTCTGATTGTCCAGAATGCTAAATTTTAACAACTCTCACTATTCTGTCCTGGATTTAAGTATATTACTTCAGCTCTGTAGGATCCTACTTAAAACCTTAGCTGAAAGAGGTTTTAACAGATGGAAAGCAATATGTAATTACAATTTTAAAAAAAGATAGCATAAAACCTTGTTCGTTATTTGGATTCTGTCATTCTGGGACATACATCAAGATAATTGTTCTGCAAATTCTAGATTTCCTTAAGGATTCCACATTCCCTTTCTCTTGAAGGAGTTGCATTTGCATTGAACAAGTGGCTCTTGTTGCACAAACATTATTTAGGAGAAATCCCCTGGTGCAGCCAGTAAGCTAGTGTTTGGGAGACCTGCAGTACCTCTCCTTGAGGAACATACATGGGCCTGTTGTGTTTCTTATTTTAACATTATTTTCCCTCTTGGTTCTTTCACCCATGGAGATTTTCAGATTTTTAAAGTATCTTCAGGTATATATGGAAGAAAATCCCTAACATTGATCCTGGGGCTGCAAATCCTCTTTGGTGCTAAATTGTAAAATCTGTCAACAATCCATTCATGAGAGGGATTTCCAGTATACAGTTATGTTGGTTTCTTACAAATTCTCAAGATCTGTAAAGAAAGTTCTGACTGGTTATCCTAAATTGCATCAATATGTAGTCTGGAATTAAAACTCAGGTCAATGCTTAAAAATAATTTCATGTTAAATGAATTTTCTAGAATAGCAGCATTGTTGAGATGTTTCATCAGTTGTGGAAATGTCAGAGAGCAATGAGTAATAGTCTACTAGCAATACATCACATGTATTTTTATGAATATATTTAAATCTACTACAACTTAATTTACAGAATGACTCGGTGGTAGAAACAAGTTTAGTTGGCACTGTGATGAATGGGCTGTCTCATCTTCATGGGTGTACTGATCGTGGACAGTTTATTATTAACTTGTTACGTGGTCTTGGTGGCAATCTCAACATGAAATCACGACAGGAATTTGCAAAAGAGGTAATGATCTTTTTCAGCAGGTTTATTAAAATTTTCTCAGTATATGTAGTACGAATGGTGATTTTCTGTCTTCTAACAATGCAAATGTAGAATAATAGAATATCTGTGTTCTAAATGGTTTGCTGTCTTTATTGTCTATAGGGAAATAGCTGAGAAGTAAAGGAATGTTTCATGTATTGCTGAAAGGCTGTTAAGTGCACCCAGCCCAGGCAGCAGTCCCTTGGTGCTGCACTGAGAGATACAGAACAGCCTCTGTCCATGCTGTTTTATGCAAGGACCCCACTATAGCAGACTCTGTGTGTGTGTATGTATTGTGTATCTGCAATACAGATTTATTTTGTGTTGTGGTGGTTTTTTTTTTTTTTCTATTCAGAATGCTTGAAATAATACTGTGGGGGCTTTGTTATACCTTACCAGGGAAGTGTTCTTACAGCATTATTTTAAGGCTGTATATTGTATGCGGTAGCTTGTGGTCTGTCTTTATGTAGGTACTTGAGGGCACAAGGAATAGGGAATAGTGCTGGAAAACCCTGTGGCATTGCTGGTCCATAGTGTCTGCAGAAGGTTGTTCCTGGAGATCGTTATGTCCACAATCGCACTTGGGTTTTGTGTTGGAGAGAAGGAGATTGTTCCTTCCTAAAGACAGCCCGGAGCTGTGACATATACACAGGGCAGATGGTAAAGGTTGAGATTCAGATCTTGGAATTAGCTATTGATGCATGCAAAGGGGTTACCTCATTCTTATGATTATTAAGTGTGCTGCCTAATAAGATAAAGCTTTTATATAAAGCTTTACTGAATACAGTTTATTTTATGTTCTTTATATTATGAAAACATAATATGTGAAAGAGAAATATGTTACTGTTTAGTTAAGGACTTGACCATAAAGCATATGCATAACATGATTGAATTTTCAGAGGCAACCCTAAAACTATAAAATTGAAGAATTAAAAGTTCAATTATACAGAAGTATTCTCTGAAAGTTCCTTAGATTGGCTTGAAATTGTAGATCTTGTCATTAGGAGTTCGGGTTTAACAGAAGCTTTTTTTTTTTTTTTTTTTTTTTTCAAGGTCTTTAGCTGGGCACAAGAATCTCCACCAGATCCGAGGAAGCCCCTTGACACATATTATGACACTGCTACTGGACAGCTAATGCTATATCAGCTGAAAAGACCTGAAAATCTAACAGCTGATGACTTCAGTAATCTCCAAAAACTTCCCGTGATCGAAACCCCAGACATGCAGAGAGGTTTAGATTATTTTAGACCATGGCTAGACTTCAACAATAAGCAGCCATTTCTTCTTGTGGGTCCTGAAGGATGTGGAAAGGGGTAAAATTTTTTTCCTATTTTAGGCAAAATATACTTCTAGATGTTTGACGAAGTTTGTAATGTTTTGTTATAATGGTTTTATTTTATGAGTTTCTCCTAGAATATCAGTTGTTTAGGTTACTGCTGAAACAAACCTTCTGAAGTGGCAAATAAGTACATTCTTTAGAACATCTACAGGGTAAAGTATAGAAAGTTCAGGCTGCCACTCTGCTTCTAAGATGTCTGAATGAGGCTTTTAGATACTAAACGGGACCTTTGGAAAGCCTGTGCAGTCATGGAGCAACAGTTGAAAGGCACATGCAATATCTGGTCTCATCTCAAGATGCCCTAGATGCCTGTGTGCAGACTGCTCAGTTTAGCTCTTCCTGTTGCCTACCTTAGGTTCCTTATTTAGTTGGGTTGAATCACTACGTACAAGATAATTAGGCTAGGTATTTGTTTTGTGTAGCTATATGCTATACTTCTGTTGACTTTCTTGAATGGAAAAATTACAGTTGTAAAGGCAAGAGCGCTTAATTCAGCAAACGTCATACATCATCTGTTACATTAATATAGTATGCAGTATATGCATTTTAATTCAAAAACTAGACAATATCTTTGGATACACAATATTTTAATGCATTTATATGTTACTTATGCTTATATGTATGTACGTGTTTGCTTTTTTAGGATGCTTCTTCATTATGCATTTTCTCAACTCCGATCCACTCAGATTGCTACCATTCACTGCAGTGCACAAACTACTTCTCAACATCTTCTACAAAAATTAAGTCAAACTTGCATTGTAATCAGCACAAATACTGGGCGAGTATACAGACCAAAGGACTGTGAAAGGCTTGTTTTGTACTTAAAGGATATTAATCTACCCAAACCTGATAAATGGGGAACAAGCACTCTTGTAGCTTTTCTACAGCAGGTGAACACTTCTGTCTGTTATTTATCAAGAGACTTAAGTATTCTGGAAATAGTATAGTGTGTGTAGTGAATGCCTACATTGATTATTTTCAGAGTTAACATCCTGCATCTGGATTGACATTACTTTTGTTTGTACTTTGAGTATGTAGGCGTCAGCCAGAAATAAGGTATCATTTTTATTTGGCTTATATGCATAAATAAATAAAGACACCTCATTGCTCACCTCAATGGGTTATAATGCACTAGGCATATGAATGGCAGAAAAATCTTCAGGAGTAGTCAGCTTGGATTCAGCAGGGGCAAGTGATGACCAACTTGGTAAAATTCTGTGATGAAATGACAGACCTGGTAGACAAGAAGAGAGCAGTGGATATAGTCTACCTGGACTTCACTAAGGTTGTTGATGCTGTCTGTCAAAAGATCCTCAGAAAGCTGTTTGTGTATGAGCTGGATAAGCAGAAAGTGAGGTGGGTTGAAAACTTGCTGAGCAGCCAGGCCCAGAGGGTGGTGATCAGTGGCACAAAGCCTGATTGGGAGCCAGTACCTGTTTAACATCTTCACTAATGATCTGGACAGTGGGGCAGAGAGTACTCTCAGCAAGTTTGCAGCTGACACCGAACTGGGAGGAGTAGTATATCTCTGACAATTAAGACAACAGCAATAATGATATACTTCTTACCTTTTTTTTTTTGTACAATTCTCTGTTGGCTTTCTTTTAACAAAATATTTCATTATTAAAGGTTCTTACATATCAAGGATTTTATGATGAAAATCTGGAATGGGTTGGTTTAGAAAACATCCAAATTGTGGCCTCTATGTCTGCTGGAGGAACATTAGGAAGACATAAGCTTACCTCCAGATTTACTTCTATTGTTCGTCTGTGTGCAATTGAGTAAGTGTGTGGATATCAGTTTGACTCTCAGAACTCAGATTCAGACTCTGTTTATAGGGCATTTGCTCTACTTAGTCTTTATGAAGATGTGGCTCTTCTAGTCTTTGATCTTTTCTAGGAGTTTGGGGTCTTCAGATTTGGTGCCGTTTGCTGCCTCTTAGAAACCAGCTAAGGAGGGATCTGTAGCTACCTGTGGATAGTGAAGTGTTTGAAATCTGTTTCCTGTTGGATGATTTTGCTTTCAGTAAACTGCTTTTTGCAGCTTTATGTTAAGGTGCCACTGATTTACAAAGCTAGAGAAGCTGAAAAGAAGTTTAAGTTTGAACACACGGATGTATTTAGAAAATGTCTGATGGTGGCCTATTGCAATAAAACAATCATTTTACTTAGCTGCTAGATGGAGACACTTCACTGAAATTTTTGAGTAATTGTCTATGTAACTTTAAATGTTTTTATTAAAAATAGTAACAACAATAGACCATAATGATTGTTTTTTTTCCCTTTGTAGCTATCCGGAACGAGACCAACTGCAAACTATTTATAGTGCCTACTTGGAACCTGTTCTACAGAAAAACCTAAAGAATCACCCAGTTTGGGGTTCTTTACCAAAAATACATCAGCTAGCAGGATCTATGGTTCAAGTATATGAACAGGTATGGAAATTTAATCTCTTTTTCAAGGATATGGAGAATTCATGTTGTTTGGTTTTTTTTTTAGATAATTAGCTTTTGATATTAAAAAGATAATAAAAAGGTTGATCAGAATTAAAATTCAAGTTTTTATCTTTTTCATAATGTTGATCCAAATTTTAGAGCCACTTATTTGCAGAGAATCCTAGGTATTAGAGGCAAACTGAGTTAATGGTAAGTGCTCTTGCTTTCCTGCAGATTTATTGTATGATTTTGGCAAGCATCTTAACTGATCTGTGCTTTCAGTTCCTGATTTAAAAAATATGGATAGTAGTGTTTTCCTGCTTAATGGATGAGGACGTTGTACTTCAGAGATTGCTTTGTGCTCAGATATTTTGGATGCTGTTAGGAATGGAGAAGAGAGATGTGAGAATGGAGTCCTTTACACACATCAAGGTCTATCTATTAGAATTTTGCACTGTTAAAAATAGGTGCTTAGACATAAATTTGCTTTATGCTCTCACTTGAAATTTTACAGACTTCTATCTAGCAAAATACTTGAGTACTTCTTTTAGTCCCTATGGGGATGTAAGTGCTTACTGTATGTTCCAACAATATATGCATGTCCCCATCTACACAGCACCATGCTATAAACTCAATCTTTTTGACTGGAATGTTGGCACAGTCATTGGCTAGCATGCACCACTTAGCAGGAGTTTCATATGATGACATCAATCTATTCTAGGGTATCTTAAGTTTAAATCTCATCATACTAGGACCAATTAAGGCAGTTACTCTTGGAATTAAAGATATTGTTGTCAATTCAAATATCCTCTTTGGGGGAAGAGTTAGTGTCTCTATAAGCAGTCTTTTGTAGTGCCAGTTAGTAATTTAGGTAGTTTTTATTGCATCTTATGTTTACTTTGGATTTTATATTTGACATTGCTTTAAAAAAAATGGTGAGCTTAGTCTAATAATACTGCACTAGCAGTTGTAGGCTTGTACAGTAGTTTGCATAAAAAAAGTACAAAAGAAATGTTTCAATCACAAGAAAATCTTTTGAGGTCAGAAAGCAAGACTTCAACAATTAATTTTTGCACTTTTTAAAAAAACCTAAAGAATACATTAATAAAATATCTAAATATATAGACCAAATAGAAATGTAGTTGATCTGCCATTTTAGAAAAAAAAATTAAAGCTACATTTCCAAGTGTTTTACATTTTAAAACAAGACTTTTTTTCCTCTCCCTTAACTTCCATTTTTAGGTACGAGCGAAATTCACCATTGATGATCACAGTCATTACCTTTTTACACCATATATTCTTACTCAGTGGGTTCTTGGTTTATTCAGATATGATTTAGCAGGTGGTAAGTCACATACTTGGTTTTCATTGATAAAGCAGTTCTAAAATGGCCTAAATTATTAATGATGTCAGTCTGCCTGTTGACTCTGCTTGCAGCTCCTTCACCTCTTTCTTAAACTGTGAAATGTCTGTAACTCAGTAGAGGGGAAAAAAATACCCAACAATTCAGTCTGTGAAATATAGTAAATAAGTAATGATGATTTAAAATTTCTGTGGGAGCTATTTTATAGCTGAAGGGAAGTTAGAAGATTGGGGCTGTGTTCTCTCTATGGGAACATGAAGTTTTTTTGGGGGTGGGGGGGGGATTTGGGTTGTTTTTTTTTTTTTGGACATATGTCTTGTCTTCTGGATCCACAGAAACTTGCCTGTTGTCCTCTTACACCTGTCTGTATAACCCTAGTGAGGTGACTATTGACCTACAACTGATACACGTCATCTATGACCTACTTAACAAAAAAGGAATGTAAACAACTGTAAACATACAGAAAACATCTAGAAAACTATTTCATCTGTGTAAAAGTTTACAAGTATCTATATAAAAGCCTAAACATTCTCATAGTTTGGGAAAGCTTGATTGTTACAGTCTAGTCTGAAAGTTCTTCTTCCATAAATTTGGAAACAGCGACACTTGTGAAGGTATTCAATTTTGTGTGCTTTTCCAGATAGCACAGGCTTCTTTCTAATCTTGTTTTTTGTCTCTGAAATTGATACTATTACTAGGTCATGACCAATTTCTCATTGTATTTTCACTTTTACTTTTAATTAAAAGGTTGCATAGAGAGCTGCTTAAAGAATATGAAAGTATAAGAGTAATGTGATTGTTTCCCATTTATTTTCTGGGACCTTCACATGGTATAAATGTAGCTTGAATGAGGTCAGAAAAGCTACACTAACAATGAGTGAATGGGTAATCTCAGCCCATCAGAGGACTCCATGGCTGTCGCTGAAGGTGACACATGCATACACTTTTTCAGTGACACACAATATGGCATGTTATTTACTTGTCTCACCTTCCTTCTTTTGTGAAGAATGTTGAAGCTTTGTATTCTCTAGTGCTATTTTATAATACAGATTTTTTATTGTTATCAGTCTTTCTCCTCCTCTTTAAAACAGACTCCTGGATTTTCTTGTTTTCCTTGCCTGCAATATTTTCTTTTAATTTTTATGTGCAAAACCTTGTTCACTTTTATTAGAATGCTGGCACTAAACTTGTTTTAATAGAATATGTTTCATTTTAACTTGTAATGATCCATAAAGATACTATTAACTTCATAACGTTTACTTTTTCTCTTATTTCTTCCTTACTGATGCTCTCCTGCTGGTATGTAATTTCATTTATTTTCAATCTTATATTTTGAAATGGGAAATAGGAGAAATGTAACATCTATTATAAATATACAAAGTTAAATCTCTCCTTAATTATTTCAGGATCATTGATCCAAACTGCAGACCATGTACTGGAAATTGTTGCTTATGAAGCACGTCGTTTGTTCCGTGACAAAATTGTTGACATGAAGGAACTTAATGTATTTGATAATATTTTGATGAAAGTGTTTCAAGGTGATTGGGGCTCAGATGTTCTGGACAATATGGCAGGTAAATCTGCTTGAGACTCACTACACAAAGTTGTATTTTTTGTTTAGGAACTTCCTAATCTAATCAGTTTAATCAGGTCATATAGCATATGAGCTGAGCACCTAAACTTTCAAATGGTTCCTTTTATTTTCACAGATATTTTCTATGTAACCTGGGGAGCTTGTCAAGAGGCATTCATCACACCAGGACAGGCACTACCACCACATGGGAGGCCACTTGGCAGACTGAGCTCAACAGACCTGAAAGATACCATTCAAAAAGTGAGACAATATTAAAGAATATACACAGCAAGGATTCATAGCAATTATTCTAGACATTTTTTTGCAGAAAGAAACATGCAAGCACGAGCTTTAGGTTGGGGTCTGCTGCTTGTCCAAGGAATCATCTTTTTGAATTTAATGAAGTGAGGGAAGGTTTGTGACACTGTGTGGCAGGCATTAGGAAGTGTGTGGCAGGGTTATTTTAATGAAAAGATGTTGGTCACATTTACAACAGTTTGATAGACAAAATTTTGAGAAACATGGATGTACATAAGTGTTTGTGTATTGTTTGAGTACCAAAGTGTTTTATTGAATGTTTACTTTCTGAATTTGTAATTTACTACTGTAATTTTTATTTGAGGAACTACAAATGGATTGCTTGGAGATTTGTGATGCTTTTAAACAGTAAAGTGCAAAAATTGAGCTTGATGAGGAAGAGCAAAAGTGTTAACTCTGTGAGCCTGATTGGTTTTCAGGATGAGAGTTTTGAGATCATCTCCCAGTGGAGAAGTGTTTGATGGATTGCTCTTGTACACGGGGAGCTACTTCCTATCCTTAACTGCCAGCTTGTGACCAATAGACTATATGGGAAATGATGAAGTTCAATAGTCTCAGTAACCAAAGAGTGGGTTTTTTTGTTTGTTTGTTTGTTTTTTTTCTGGTCACACAATTACATTTGGATTCAAAGATGAAGTTTTATTAAGTATGACGAGGCCGAATTTAATCTTACAATCTGTTATTTTGTGTGTTTCACTAGGAGATTCCATAATCCACAACTGTGCAGCATTTATCTGCCTAAAATGTTCTTCTAAGTTATGTTTTGATTAATCTGTTCTCAGAGACACAGCTCAGACTTTGTTCTGGTCCTTTAATTTTAAATAATTCAGTGGTAGAGTTCTATTTCAATATATCAAAGAGTTCTAGAGTATCCTGATGCTGGGGGTAATGTGATCTGTTTGTTACTCATAAAGTGTACGTAAGGTATCTAAATTCTGTCACACAAATAACCTATTTGTAATGAATACCAGTGTGGTCTCTGAAGCTTTCAAGCCCTTTTCTAAACTTCTAAGTACTGAATGCTTTCATACTTGACTGCTTTTAGTTATTGTTAGTGAACACACCTCTCTTTTTTTTTTTTTGATAGGGTATTATTCATTATGGGCGAGACAAAAAAGAGATAGAGATTTTACTGTTCCAAGAAGTCCTCAGTTATGTGTCTAAAGTGGACAGAGTGCTAAGTTTTCCTGGAGGATCACTTCTTTTGGCAGGACGGAGTGGTGTAGGTCGTCGAACAGTTACCTCTTTAGTTAGTCATATGCACGGAGCTGTTCTGATTACTCCCAAAATTTCCAGAGGCTATGAGCTGAAGCAGTTCAAAAATGATCTTAAACATGTAAGTCACTCGGTGTCTCTTATTTTGAAGTGTTGTAAATGTGTATTAAAACCCAAAAAGAATATGGGAATTTTGAAGGACACAAAAGTGTTGCGTGAAGGGATATTTTAAGTAAAGCAAAATGTCAGATTTAAAAATGTAGATTTTTTTGGAAGTTCTCAATATCTAGATGTGTGTACTGTTCTTTATAGTAATTACCTAAAACTCCACTTTTTTGAATACTAGAGCTGTTTTTATGAATGTTGAGTACTTCAAAAATTCTAAATTTATGTGAATATTGGAAAGGGTTTTTTTTTTTATGTTTGTATATATTTTTATTTTTTGTCTCTGCTTTGGTATTCCAGTTAATAGAATAGTAGCTGAATCAAGTAAAATTTTAGTGGTTGATGCAAGTACATATTATTTAAAAACACACTAAAACCTTAACTCATGAGTTTCCAAGTGCCTTCCAGCAATGCTAAATAAAATTCTGGAGCTAAGCCCGCACAGGAAAGTGATACAACTCTATGACTGAGTCACATCTGGACATATATTTGTATTTTTTTAAAAAAATATTTTAATTATTAATAATAATTATAAATATTATAACAAAGATACTTATGAAAGAGGCTGTTTTAATTATGTTTTCATTGGCAAGCTGTAAATCTAGGTAGAAAGATGTATCTCATGTAACTGAATCACCTACTAGTCTTCATGAATATAAAGTAGTGTCAATGCTGTGGAGAAACTATGTATGTGATATATGATCAAGGAAAGATGATCTTACTCTTACGAAGAGCACCTGTATTCCATACACTGAGATTTAAATGTCTTCCCTGTTTCTAGGTGATGGAGCTTGCAGGTATTGAAGCACAGCAGGTGGTATTGCTGCTTGAAGACTATCAGTTTGTTCATTCCACATTCCTTGAGATGATCAATAGTTTACTGTCTTCAGGTGAGACAAGTCCAGAAAGGTTATGCTATGACTTCTACCACACAGAGTTAGTTCAAGTAGGCAGAACTGGGTGATGTTTTCTAACTTTATGTCTGTACTAGAGGTGTTAGTTAGCTTTCTACACTGTTTTAGCTAGAGTGCTTGGACACGAGAAGATGACTTGAAGTTCACTGAGCTAGCCTTTAACCACCCCTTCAGTGTGGGTGCTTTCAGTTCCTCCAAGTTTCAAGTTAAGTAACTTAATTCCGAGGAGTTATTTACAATTGTGTAAGAACAAAATTATAATATCTTCTACTCTTCAGCTTCTCTTTTCTAATAAAATTAAAAATTAAGATCTGTCCCAGTGTTTTACTAGATTATATAGACTGAGTCCTTTGCCTAAAGGAACACAGCAAAGCCCACTTTGCTGTAAGTAATAAGATGATAAGTAATAATAACAACAAATAACAAAAGGGACTTTATTTTGTTATCTAGTTTTTTTCCTTGATCAGAGAGATCATTGAAGCACTGAGTCTAACTTACTAAATGTATTTTGGAACTGCAGTAGTTTAAGAGCTGCTTGATAAAAGCACCAGATTTTCTTATCTCCCAGGTGCAAATCCAAGTCTCCTTACAGTATCAGACTCTCATCAGCCAGTGTTAAACTTCTGTGTGTGAGATAACTAGATAACTACTCATTTTCATGTTTCTCCTTTCCAATGTATAACAAAGTAGTGTGATTTGGTTTTGTGCAGTATTGTGTCACGTCTTTGGGTAGATTTGAATGAGCTTTTGAAGTATATTTCAGTAATTTAAACAAAGCACGTTGTTTAAGTTAAATGGAATAACTATAATTTGAGATTTTTTATGATATCATGAAAAGAATGCTGAAGAATGTGGGAAGATACTCGTAAAAATATGGAGGCGAATACTTGTATCCAAATTCTCTATACAGGAGTTTGAAGGGAATCCTTCAAATGAATTTCAAGTATTATATTGTATTTTTTCTGACATTTAAAATTCCTTCTTGAAACAGGAGAAGTTCCTGGGCTATATAAAACAGAAGAATTAGAACCATTACTATCTCCTCTGAAGGATCAAGCTTCGCAAGATGGATTTACAGGACCGGTTTTCAACTATTTCACATACCGTATGTGAGCAGAATTAGAAGTTGTAATATATTACAGAGTTACAAGAGGGCTATACTAATGGACAGATAACTTCTAAAGTGGTCCTTATTTTGTGTGCACTTTTAACTTTCACTTTGTTATAAAAAAACAGGCAGGAATAATGACTGCGGTGTGACATTTGAGAATACAGAACCCTCAGCTTACAATTCATTCTTCTATCTGAAATTTTGTATCCACAAATGTTCTACAGAGCTGTTGTGAAATCTGCTGTTGAAATCAATTAAAAGGAAGAAAGCTTTTGTACTCATTGTTCTCTGGTTTGTTTAGCTTGTATATCTAGTAACAAAGTTTTCTTCTATTTGTCAATTATACCTACAAATCACTTTGAATTCTGAGCGATCATAAGCAAGTTTACAGATAGGTTTCTTAATTATTTTTGTTTCTTCCTTGGTCCAAAAAGATCAAATAGTTTACAAATAAATAGAAGAATGTGACTGAAAGAATAGAGATGGTGGCAGTCATGCAATGGCTCTGGACGTGCTTCTAATTGATTCTGTTAGTTCATATAGATTGGAATGAGAATTAGTGGTAAAAAATATATTGTAATATACTTAATGAGAATCCATGATAGTAAATTAATTTAAGTTCTGTTTATAAACATTCCTGCCCTAGTGTGATATAGTGTAATAATAATTTTTTTTTTTCAGAATTTGCCTTCTGGTATTTGAAGGACAGTAAATGATGTTGTATTTGCAATAGATCTACCATCACGTAGTCAGATTATCTACTCAGTATTTACTGTCTTGTATTTTCTTAGGGATCCAACAAAATCTGCATGTTGTCTTAATCATGGATTCTACCAATTTAAATTTCACAATAAACTGTGAAAGTAATCCAGCACTGTACAAGAAATGTCAGGTTTTGTGGATGGAAACCTGGTCAGAAAACAGTATGAGAAAGGTATGTTGCATTAATTAAAAATTGTGGTTTGTTTTTTTTTTTTTTTAAATTAGGATCTCCAAAAATAACTGAGCTTTGGTAAACAAGACCAAAATATTTAAAATTGTGAAGTAAGTGTCCTTGTAATTATTACACAGACAGAAAATTCATCACAACAGTTAAGTAATACTAGCATTGTTATTTTACCAGTAACATTATGTTTAGTTCTGTCTGTGGGCTGACTTGAAAAACATGCTAGCTACTGTGAATCTGATCAAACACAGCATTTAAGAGCAAAACACAAGCAGACTGAAAGCAAAATGTTAAAGCCAACTGTGTTGATGATACCGGCTCATACAAACACACAGAGAGTGGATCCTTCCAGTAACAGGGTGTAGACATCCTGTCCATCCAGTGGCTGGCCATGGATCTGGAGTCTCCCCATTGCATCCTGTGCAGGCACATGAGTGTTACATGTACACTCACACAGACATGTGCAGCTGGGTCCCATTTTACTCCCAGATTCCACAGGCTCTCAGGCAGTTGGTCTGGACCTTCTAGTGCCTCTGATGTTAACTGCAAGTGCCTCACCAACCCATAGTAAGTCTTGTGCAATCTGAAATGCTCTTCTACTGCATCCCATAATGTGTCCCAAGACTCCTGTTCCTTGAATCTAATCTGTAAAATAATCTGGCCTCTCCCATTGACTCAGGATGGGTTTCACACAAGGACCATGGGGTTGTTCACTCCTGGGAGAGCCATGGGAGCACGTGGTGCAGAGTGTCCTTTTTTTCCCTGGGTTACTGGGGCGCCTCCACCTGCCATCCTGCCTCAGTTTCAACAGCAGGTTGTACTGAAAATTAGTTTCGGCAAAAGTGTTTGTACCAGCTCTATCTGTAGTTAAAAAATATTTTTTTTGGGTATTTTCACTTTCACTTCAGGAGGGATTTATTTTTTTTGAAATGGAGTCTTATCCTTTAGTGGCATGGCAGGACCTTTGAATATATCTTGTTAATTTTTACCATTGTACATTATATAGCTCATAAGATATGAAGGTGAGCCCACACTTAGACTGTGAAAAAGACTTTAAAGACTTAGACTTGGGCATTGTTTAATTTTGGTGGTGTATCCACAAGAGTTGTACTTCAGACTGTCTCATTTCTTGTTGAGCTGTGTAACTTTTTATATCTTTGACATTTGTGTTATCGTGAGAGTCTTCTGAGAATTAGTTGCTCTTTCTTACAGCCAGCAAAAGTTCCTCTGCTTGAGAGAACAGGAAGTTATCAGTGACAGGGAAAGGCAGAATTGACCTTTTTGACAATATACTATAAATACCTTAGTCTGAATAAAGCTACCATATTCAGGCTTTTAAATTGAGAAACTAGATTGAAGGTGTTTTTTTTTTATTTCAACGTAAATTTTTGTTGTTCATAATTTTCATACAAAAACTCATGTTCATTTTTTTAGATACCTGAAATGCTTCTGTATGATGCAGATGAACAAGAAAAAAATGGAAAAGAACCTAAGGAACTTAAGAAAAAAAAATCAGGTAACATTTAGGTGGACCCACTAGTTATTATTACTTATAAAATACTCAGTCCTGTGTTGGGCGTAGATAATAAATAGCATATATACCTCGAATATGTTTTTGCCAGCACACTATAGACTTTAATATTGCTTGCATGGCAGGCATTTCGCTCAAGGGGACATAATTTTGGAACATGCATCCTGGCTGATCAAACCCACTCTCTTCTGTCACAAGCAATCACTATAGATATTCAATTTTCTAAACTGATTAAGCTGCATCTTGTTTTATTCTGTTCTGTGTCTCCCTTCTATGTGGATCTTATTTCATAACCTCAAAACTTGGATGTTTTGAGAGTTTTTCAGTCTCTATGTTTTCATTATTATTGTCCTAGACCTGCTCATTTTACTTTAATAATTTTTTAATGACTAATTTCTGGTAAGTCATACCTCTTTTTAAGAATAATTTATTTTTATGATAAAACTTCAAATTTAACCATTTTAAAAATAGGGTGTAAAATATAATCTAGGACATCTATGTCAGCACTTACTTGCATAATACTACTTTTAGCTGCTTATTATAAAGAATGGGTTTAAGTGCTTAGAAGTCATGGAGCCAACAGAGTGTAAAATTTTAGGTGGTTCATTTGGGATTTCTTGGTTTGTATTGCTTTTTAATAGACATGCTACAGTAATGGCCAAATTTAGGATGTAGTGTTTATGCTGTCATCCATCTTTATCCTAGGTCATGGTCCTTAATCTGTACCTCAGTACTTAAAAATGGTATTAATTTATGTAAAGATATATTTTAGTGTTTTTTTTTCTTTTGTAAGGTAATACAATTTATTTTACAGTATCTTTGGGCTTCATTTAAGAAAGTGTTGAACAAACTGAAGGACCTGGAATGCTCATAAAAACCTTTTAGTTTGTCGTCAGAGGAGACAGACTAAAGAAGGAGACAAAACCACATGGGCTTCCTGTCTAAAAGAGTTCAAATATTTTAAAATTGGATTTTTGTGGGAATGAAGTTTCTTGTATGATTAGTCCTCAGTAATCTGTAATTATTTTTGCTCTCTTTTCCAAACATCGGTGAAATATTTTATAACTTTGAAACATTTTCATACATTTCTTTCTGAGTAATATGCATTTCAAATGAAATCGGATGTTGTTTCTCCCAGAGTACTTTGAAAAAAAGTATAATTTGATATTTTGAGTACCCATAATTCGTATCTCAAAAACCATATTCTGTTGTTTTTCAGTAGTTATACTCACTCTTATATCACATTAAATATTATTATCTTTGTAACAAATCATGTTGTACAGGTGACTCTGATTTTTTGAAGTCATTTCTGGCAATCCATGAATCATGTAAAATGTATGGAGCAACACCTAGCAAGTATATGACATTCCTTCGTATCTACAGTGCCATCAATAATAGTAAAAGGAGAGAGCTAATAAAAAGGCAGAACCACCTGCAGGTATGTATTTAAAACATTTTTAACATATGGCTTTTCAAAATACTCTCCTGTTTGGAAACGGCATGTGTGTTAAGAGGCTGTAGCTCCTAACATGGTTGTGTGAGGTGTCCTCCTTGGCGTATGCTCATGCTGTGTCTTCAGGAAAGGAACAGTATGAATTTTAATGTGCGTCTCTATCCAAATGCCTCAAAGAGTGAAGAATGCTTTCTTGTTTCTGTTAATATTTTTCCTCAATAATGTATCAGACTGGGTATGTTTTCATGGAAGAGTAAAAAGTGCTTGAAAGCACTTTAAATTTTTTCATCCATGTGTGTTGGACTTTTGTTGCAAACAACCTGTCATCTTTCCATCAGTTGAAGTCCTGCCCCTGCTTGTATATATTTCCCCTCTCTAGTCCATTCCTTTCTTTATATCTCTACAGCAAATTCCTGTTTTGTGTGATTCTTGCGTCCTTTTAGTTCAACAAGTTATCATCTTTAACATCATGGCGCTCTTGTGTAGCTTTGACCAAGATTCCCTTTGTTCCTTTTCCAACCTTTACACAGATCTAGACCAAGCACAGTTGCTCTCACAGATGTTGCTTTACTCCTGTTCTGTATGCATAGCATACTTATTTTGGAGTCCCATTTGTTACCTTTCCAGTCACACTTCCTTCTCTCCCCCCCGGTATATTTCTGGAAAGATCTGTCTGATCCTTGAGGACATGTAACCTTTGCCTTTGCCCTTCCCCCTTCCCTTTCACCTCCCTTTCCCAGTGACCCTTGCTGCTCTTCTGAAACTGCACTTGGAAATCTGTATTTCTTTTTAAAGCATCTGTCAAAACCAAATTACTTCCTTGCCTTGTATGCTACACTGTTTTTCTTCTGCCTGCTAATATTTTCTATCATGGTAGTAAGCAACTTAAGAAGATTTACATTTGTAATAATAGAAATAACTTTTATTTCTTTAGAAAGTAGCTGTGGTTTGGTCGTGACAAATAAAAGTAATCATTAACATGAAAATTAGAGATGTGTATCCTAAATCAAAACATCTTCCAGCTAATATTTTTTTCAGATGTACCTTGAAATAATACTGTGATCTGATTCCCATAAAGTAAATAATTTAGGAAGTGTGAATATAGAAAATAATCTTAAGCATAACTGAGCTTTGTTTTATGTACATCTGTGTTCTTTAGAGAATGTACAAATATGTAGAAATAGGATAGTCTGATTTGTTTAATTTTATAGATTTATTTTTAGATGAGATATAATTATATGGAGTTAATATCAGTTAACTGAAGTACTATTGAATTAATGAGAATAAGAGCGTGTACTAGTTGCTGTTCCAGTAAAGGTCTGTTATTTTGAGAATTTTGTTTTCAGCTTTTTGAGGTGGTAATAGATCTTATGGTGACACATCAAATCTTGTTGTTGGGTTAAATAATACCAAGAAAATGTAAATGTTATTGAGAAAATGGGGAACATAAATTTAAAAAAGAATATTAGTCTACATCACTCCTAGTTTGTATATACTCTTTGTAACAAACCTTCATTTAGATCCTTTTGAAATTAATTGTTCTATAACTGCTTTTTACAAAATTTTATAGGCGGGTGTCTCAAAGCTGAATGAAGCTAAAGCCCTGGTAGATGACCTCAACAGAAAAGCTGGAGAGCAAAGCATTTTACTCAAAACGAAGCAGGATGAGGCTGATGCTGCCCTTCAAGAAATTACAGTATCTATGCAGGTGTTTACAATCTCATCAAAAGTGGAAAAAAACCTCAAACAGATGCTTTTCTATTTTTAGTCTATGTAACTGCCTGGGTTTTGTGTTCTTTTCAAGAGGTATAAACCCTGATGCCTTTATAAGAATTTACCTAAGGGGATGCATAAGCCTTGAATAAGACTTGAGTAAACTTGCAACAGGATGGAGGATTATATAACTTTAGTCATATATGAACTGATTGAGTAAGAAGAGCTCAGTGAAAGTTTTGGACCTGTAGTAGTATTCACTACTGTAGTTCAGTCTGAAAGTTTCTCTAGAACTTCATAATTCCAAACTGATCTGTTTCATAATGTTTATTACAGATAGGAGCTTTCAACAAAATATTGACAGGTAGCACTATTTCAAGTACAAATACCAGGAATTAAATTTGTGGACTGTTAAGTATTCATTTCATGAGGTCCAATCCTCTAAAGTTAACCTCAAAGAATGTTAAATAATACGTCTGTGTACATCACTTCCTGAATTTTTGTTCAAAAAAATTCTGATTTTTGAAGTGGTAGGTTTTCCTCTGTTAAGTAATTGTGCAGAAAATAGATCTCTACGTTGATACTTGTAGGAATCATAAATGTAGGCGTCAAGGAATTAAGGCTGGGCCAGATGGTTTCCATTAACCCCTCTCCCTTCCCAAAGGGGAGGGGAAATGGAGTAAGGGAGAGAGAGATGGGGACTCGAAAAGAAAACTAAAACAGCTTTAGTGAAATTAATAACAGTAAATGAAATACATACAACACCAGTATGGAATGTACCGCCCCCCCATGGCAATTATGCCACTGTCACCACTGATGCTCAGATGCTGTGGAGCCCGGACTGGGGAAGTCCCAGACTGGACTCAGCAGCAGATTGGAATTGGATTCAGGAGTTGGATGCTGGTACTGGATTCAGAAACAAAGGGATCAGGATCAAAGGCAGAACGGGTGGAGCACTCATCAGACACAGGCCACTGAAGAAGAGCTTGATCCTCACGATGCCTCAGCTTTATACTGAATATGACGTATGAGATGGAATACCTCGTTGGTCAGCTCGAGGTCACCTGTCCTGTCCCCTCCCCCCCGCAGGTGCAGCTGGGTGCACCCCCAGTGTGGTACACAAGATTTAGCGGAGACCTTGGTCTGCACACCAGTCCTTGGGAGAGACTAAACACTGAGCATCATCACTGCTAGAAGCACACGCTGTCTGCAGAAACATGCTATTAACTTCAGGAAGTGCAGTTAGTTAGGAGACATAGCTGGAAAGTAAAATCACTGAGCAGAATTAGTTCTGGTCTAACTTGAACCAGGACAGGATGATAAACCCTAATGAATCTACCTTCACTGGTTTATTCTGATCACTCTGAAGGAAAAAACCAAGAAGCTCAGTAATGGAGACACTGTATGCAGTAAAGTAGATACCTGCTCTTTCAAAGCACTGAGTTCACTGTGTTTTAAAGGTGCATTACTTCCCTTTTTTACGTCAACTTCTGTTGGCAATTTTTAATGTATTCAGGCTCTTTCTGCCTACCATACATGAATTTGACTAATGAGGGTTGGTGTGGTGTCTTGACTGCCAGCATCAAAGAATTTATGACACGAGTTTCCCTGATTTCTGTTTTAAATCTGTTTACTATTGTCCAGTAGAGTTGCCTGTTGTGTAGGTAGCACATATTACATACACTGCAGGAGAAAATAAAAGAATAGACCAAAAGCAATGAAACATGATAGGCCCACTGACGTCGGAAAAATTACAGTAGAATCCTGATTATTTATATTAGCATAAAGTATAGGTGCCCTCTAGCATTTTAAATTTAGTTTTCTTATTCAGAACTATCATTCAGTACATGCACATTTGCATGAAATATCTAATCTAATTTTATGTAGCTAATGTTTTATAGATTTGAATGTAATTTTCAATGACACAGTGGTCTGTGGTGTGGGTTAAGTACTCAGATTATTATTAATCTCAAGGTTTTCTCTGATTGTATATGTCTGTTGCCTTCTGCTACAAATTCAACTCACCTCAACAACTGCTAGCTATAATTAATGTGTTATGTACTGGAAAAACCTAAACTCTGGGCTTTGTTTTTCTTCTATCTTTTAGGTGAACAGAGCCTAGAATATTAGTCTTTTATTTTATGTATTTTATGCATTTAGTCTCAATTATTATTATTTTTTTTTTTTAACTTCAGGATACCCAAAATTTTTTTAATTGCAGTTTCATATACTAGATATATGTTGTTGTACCAAAGTGTTTAGGAGTCCTGGAGATGGCTAATGGCTACTGATTGCTGTATTACCATACAGCACAGTACAAATTCAGGAAAAAAACCATGTAAATCTAAGTAGGTTACAATATATGTGTAGGATGTAAGACAGGCATCTTTACAGACACGTGGGTGCAGACTTACAAGTAAATAATACATTAGTATTTTTAAGCTAATTGGCTATAGTTCAAACACAACTTGTGCTTTTATGAACATTATAGAGAAGGGGAGTTTAAGTGATATTGTAAAAGAAATAGAAATACAAGCAGCTACAAAGGCACTGGTAGGAAGATACTACTTTCAAATGTAGAAAGAATGTTACACAAGCTGTCACTCTTGTGCATTAGGAAAGGAACTGACATCTTGATAAAGGATTGGAAAATCCAAGGCAATGAGAAGAAAGGTTGTACTGAGCTTCAAAAACAGAGATACAGATCTCGTCTGTGGTAAAGAAAGTGAAGGAGACACAAGTAAAAACAAAAGATGCTTATTCCATATAATTTTGTTACCCAGTCAAACTGTGTAGTCTCAGATACTTTATTCTGATTGGTATTGTGCCAATTACATTATAATCCAGACTAAAGGAAGTGAGGATCTAAAGGAATAAAATCTGTGTAAATTTGAAAACTAAAGATACTCTTTTTTTTACAGAGTGCTAGTGAGCAAAAAACAGAAATGGAAAAATTAAAACACCGAATAGCAGAGGAGGCTGCAGAAATAGAAGAAAGAAAAAGAAAAATAGAAGATGAACTAAAAGAGGTTCAGGTAAGAGCTGATAAGGAAAAGTAATATTTTGCAGTCTGATTTTGACTTACTCAAGTCCTGCCATGGAAAATGGCTCTGCAAAATTTATCCTGACTTTTGCTCTAAATTACTCTGATATTAAAACTTCCGTGGATTAGAAAACAATATTCTGTTTGCCAGATTTAGGTTCTGCTTTTAGCATTTATGTTCTATTAGACCATAGTTACAGAAAGAATTTTCAGGTCATATATTACCTCAAGTTGCTCTTTCTATGCTGCCATAAGTCCAGCTGGTTTATGCAGATTATGGAATGTTTTTAAAATTCTAATGTATAGATCAACTGCATTACTCTGACTTGGTCAAGCTGGTGGAATCATAGGGCTTGCTACTATCAACTGGGTGGAAACAGATTAATAAGATAATTTCCAGTTTTTGCTAAATTCTGGAAATTATGTATCCTAATAGCATTATAGCAAACTGCTTGTTTGAGGCGTTACATCTGTTAAGCATCAGGTTTCTGGGAGGTGTGTGCGTTCAGTCATTGCTTTTAGTCTCTATTTGTCATCCCATCCTTTTTAAAATTGTACTAAAAAATAAGAGAAAAGTACAGAAACTAAGTTTTTTTTTCCCTTTTGATACCATAGGTGCCAAGGAATTATACCATTGTATTGAAAGTGACATAGAACTAGAGGATCAGAGTAAATCCCTTTCTGTGGTCTCTGATAGATATGAAGGATGTGCAAGGTGTGCACAGGCTGTAATGATAATCTTTAACTTCTGTTTTCCTACCATTTTGTTACTTTTTTTGATAAGGGCAAAGGCTGTCTGGATTTGTTTAGCTGCTGAAAGTAGAAAGCTTTTGTGACTTGTATTTCTACATGTCTTTACAAAGACATCCTCCTCAGGCATGCCTGTAAGCAATAATTAGCGTCATTATTAAAACATACCTGTATCACAACGAAATTTAAATAGTGAAAGAGCAAACAAACAGGATTGATAGTAGTATCTGTATAATCTTTATGAATAATACTGATGAATAAAAAGTTAGAGAATGTCACGATTATAATGTGCTGGTTTAAATGGAAATAGATTCATTGTCACTAAATAAACACACGGCAATTTTTTAGTAACTTGTCCATGTGAATATGCATCAATGGCAGGGTAATAAAATAGGTAAAAAGAACAAGAAATTGTGTGAAAACTGGAATGGCAAATGTTCAGTTTCTTGCATCCTCATGTCTTTTTTTAATGTCTTTTTATATTTTAAGCCACTGGTTGATGAAGCTAAATTAGCAGTTGGAAACATAAAGCCAGAGTCCTTGTCAGAAATCCGGTCACTCCGCATGCCCCCGGACATAATCAGAGACATACTAGAAGGAGTTTTACGGCTGATGGGGATTTTTGATACGTCATGGGTGAGCATGAAAAGGTGAGGATTATATTTAAAAGCTTTAAACAGTAAGTTACAATATTAAATACTTGGTTATATTCTGCATGTGTTCAGAATCCTTTGGTTGCATAGTGAAGTAAACTCTTTAACATTTGCTTCTTCTTTACTTCCTTATTTCATTCATTTTACAGTTTCTTGGCCAAAAGAGGTGTGAGGGAGGACATAGCAACCTTTGATGCCCGTAACATCCCAAAAGAAATACGAGAGAGTGTTGAAGAACTTCTTTATAAAAACAGAACGTCTTTTGATCCAAAGGTAATTCCTGATTGTATTACATAAACTGAAAAAAAGAAAAAAAGAAGGAAAAGAAAAAGACGTGATTGTCTGACATGCCTACATAGTTTTTAGTATGAACTTTAATCTACTTCTAGAATTTGTCAGTATAAAGAGACAGAAGTGTAGCAGAAGTCACTCTGTTGAGTACTGGCTCTAATAGCAAGAATTTTGTTGGTCACTGAGGAGTGGTGGGATTTGAAGTCATTAAGGAGTCAAGTCCTCAGAGATTTTTGTCACAGGTATAAATTAGAACTCAGATCAAGGAATTGTAACTCACTCCTGGCCTTCTTGTACCACTAAGAGTTTTAACAGCTCACTTAATTAAAAAAAGGGGGAGTAAAAATGATTAAAGGTATGAGTGGTCTTTGAAAATTGCTTTGGCAGTAGCTATAAAAAGCATTCCTTAAATACTATTTTCCTAATTTTTAAAAGGAAAGTTGTAGTTCCCTGAGAGAAGGAACAACACTGATAAATTATGCATTAATTTAGAACTGACTTCAGTTAAGCTTCATAGTTGTAAAGAGACCCTTTTTTTTTTTTAAACACAGATTGATGGCCTTAAATACAGTCTTTTAGTAACTGTTTAAAAGTTTAGTGCAGTAGAGGAGCTGGCTAATTGGCATATTTAAGTTGATAACTTGTAAATTTGATGCAGTTATTTATCCTATATTTATTTCATCTACATTATACTTCCATGAATTTCTGCTATTTCTTTCAGAATGCAAAACGAGCCAGTGCTGCAGCTGCTCCGTTGGCTGCTTGGGTGAATGCCAATGTCCAGTATTCCCATGTCCTAGAAAGAATTCAGCCTTTGGAAAAAGAAAAGGCTGGCTTGGAAGCGTAAGTTAGACACTGTTACAAAATAAATGTTCTTAATTCCAATGGTGGTAGATGGAACTAAAGCTGCTAAGGAGGAACTGAATAACAAAAGATAGAAGAAACCATACCTCATCCGTAGATAATAAAACGTTCGTGCTGAGACAGAAAAAGTAAGTGTGCTGTATTAGTTTCTTCCTGGAAGCTGTACCTTGGTTACTTTTTGGCCAATCACAATTTAGGTATCTCAGCTGAAGTGTGTCAGGGAGAAATGAACATCACAGGTAGACTTAAAAAGTATTCTGTTGGTGGAACTAGTGCTATTTTGTGGGAGGTGTAGTTCCTCTTTTTTCAGTCAGGTACTAAGGATAATCAGTTTCTCCTTGGTATCAAAAATATTTGACATAGTTTTATGACTATCCATAGCCTAAGGAATATATACTTACTATTTTGTCAGGTCTTAAAATTTAGTATTTGAAGAATTTCTTCTCCTCTTTAAGAATACATCTGAAAGGGGTGTTTGGTTTCAATTTTTAAAGCTGTGTGTTGAGAAGTAATTGGAACTTTTACATGTGGAAACAGATTTTTGTTAATGTAAATCACAAGAAAGAACTGTCTGAACTATCTCCAATGACTTTCCTGTTACACATACTCTTTTTTGTTTCCCCCCTTTGGATCCATAGTCTTAAAATAAATGTTACATTTTTGTAGTAATCTCAAGAAAACGGAAGAGAGAAAACAGAAGTTAGAAAATCTTCTGAACTCTGTTGGTCAAAAAGTATCAGAACTGAAAGATAAGTAAGTGAGTTTTGTTTATTTCAAGATATAAGTAAGAACATTGATGATTTTATGTCATAAATAATGGAATTTATCTACCCAAATGTAACTCAATGCTCTGCAACATATTTACATCCTCAGCTGTGATAATTAGGCTATCTATACAGTCAGTGGATATAAATAAATACTATTAGAATACAGTTCATCTCAACAACCTGCTTCTCACTACTGACTGTGTTGGAAACCTTCAGTGTAGACATTGTAGATATCAAAGATAAGCAATACATTTTTTTACCTTTTAAATCTAAGGTGATTTTAATGTCTCCTTAGGACTTGAGAAACAAAATCAGACAGAGCTTCTGATCACAGCTTGAATAAAGGAAGTTCTACTATGTCCTACTTGTCTGACAGTTAGCTATCTCTTTTTTTTCTTAGCATCTTATCAAGTATGTGGCTTACAGTGGCATAAAGATTGCTGTGGAGAACTTTTATACTTGATCCAAACACAGTTTAATCAAAGTCCTTTAGTTTCAATGTTTCTAGTTAGTATAGGAGGTGCTTTAAAACTTGATGTACATTCATCTTATTAAAGTCATGTTTTGTAGCTGTCTTGCCAATGACTAGACCTAGCATGAATGACACAGCCAGCAGAAAGACAAACCAGTCAAGTGGACTGTACTGAGTATAGAAAAGTCATTCCATGAATAATCGCCAGGGGTACAAACAAGTCAATTAGTTCACATGCAATCCACATCACCCCCAACGATCCCAACAATGATATTGCATGACTGACAATAGGTGGAACAAACAAGGAACCAAGGCTTCCTATAGATGTCATGGGAAGCAGCCAGGTCAACAGGCTAATCACATAGGATAAAGGTGGCCACATAGCCACCTCTCACTCTCCTAGCCTGCATTTACAAAGGTCTAACCTGACCAAGGTCCAGTTCCAGGAGAGTCAGGAGGTCGTTCCCCAACCAGGACACTTCTCCCTTCCTGCAAGTGGTCCCAGCTTTTATCCCCAAGCAGACACCTGACCTTTGTCAACTCACTGCGGGACCCCTGGGGCTCATTTCCCTTATGGCTCTCCCTGCAGGGCCGGCCGCACCCTGGGGGGAAGCTATAAGGCAAACTCACCACCTCTGTATGAAGGGCTGTGGGAATCACCCATATGTCAGCCTTAATTCGGGGCACAAACCCCAGCATTTCAGTAGCCTGTAAAAAACAAGTATTTAGAGAAGTCTTGTCATTCAGCTCTATAGTAATTTCTTAGATTAACTAGATACTATGTATTACAGTTAAATATTTTACTTTAAAAAAGTAGATTATTGAATGCAGTAATTATTTTAATTAAATGTTAAGCTAATTAGATTTTAAACATTACAAAATAGTACCTAAACCTTGCTAGTTGTTTGGGGCATGATCTGACTTTGCAGTAGTTAACAAAATAGAGTACTGTGCGTTGAAATGGGGTCATCCATGTGAATGAGCAATCTTCTGCTTTAAAAGTTTCATAGATTAAATTTACCGGAACGTAACAGATGTATAGTGTGGTGCTGAGCCTACTGTTGTCCTGACTGTGCAGAACAAAGTTTAACGCAATCACTAAAAGGCTTTTTAAGAAGAAGGAGTGATTTTCAGACATTATAATTGCTATTGCAAATGTATGTTTAAATCACAACTGTGCTTCTATCTAAATTTTGTTAGTTTAAAATTATAACAAGCTCATCTGGCAATGGGAAGCAGGAGGTATAACAAAAGAATTGTAGCTGTGTTCTTAATGAAAAGGAAGGAATCCTTTACAAATTCAGTCAATTAAACTGCCTTGAAAATAACTATCTGGAAGTTTAGTAGCTCATGATAGCAATCACAAACAGTAGTTGTTTTACAGGTTCCAGAGTAGAACAACAGAAGCAGCAAAACTTGAAGCAGAACTAAGTAAAGCTCAGAAAATACTGAAAGCTGCGGAGGTACTGATAAATCAGCTTGATAGGGAACACCAAAGATGGAGCACGCAGGTTAGTGAAAATTTTTGTAAATACATCTTATGGCTGATAATTTTAAAATACAATATTTGTACTGTTTGGAGAATGTGAGTTACTGCCATTCTGTATGTCTCTTAATTGTACATTTATTTGATATCTCATTAGAAATAAGAGCTTTTCTTCCTTCCGAAACTTCACTTTACTTCATTATACAAGTTACCTTACTTATATCACTCAGGTGCAGAATGTTTTAAAAAAGCCCTACTACTTAATATAAACCATACAACGTTCTTTGAGGTTTTTCAATCCCCATAATAATGTAGTTGTTATGATGGCTGAACATGTCTGCTGTTGGATCTTCCAAGCTGAGGTATGATCAAAAGAGACAGATTTAGCGAAAGCGCTAAACAAGCACAGTCTTAAAACATATCTCTCTTATGGCATCCATGCTGGAAATGCAAATGCAGACCTACCCAAAATGCTGGGCTGTTTTTGAAGTCTTCACTTGCACATTTGATACTTCTTGGCTTCTAAAGTAGGGAAAATGAGTTTATCGTACTTGCTCAGATGATGTATTTGGGAGAAACTGGCAAGCCTTTGGACACATTGGCCCTTCTTCAGTCTGAAACAAAGAAAAATGTTAAGATATATACAAATTGAAAATAGCTGTCACCTCCAGAATGCAATACCAAGCTTTCATGGGTATCTTAAAACAGAAAAAGGCTCCCGGCTGAGAGACATGCTCCCAGTCCTGTCTTCTCATTGACACTGAAAAAAGCCTAAATAATTAGATTAAATAGCTGCATTTTGAAGAACCAAAATTAGGGTTAGATGAATCGTTCTTGTAGGTTGAAAAGCATAATGGGAAAAAATGGAAGATTTTCCTCTGAAAGTAGCTTTACAGCTGTTCCTTCTGCTATATTAAGGATTTGATATATTTGAACCCTGGAGTTTAAATGTTTCTAAAAGTGATTTCCTCAGTTTTTCACTCTGGTACATTAGCCCTATCTTCAGAAAGTTTGGACTTTACCATTATCTATTAATGGTATGTTGTAGAGCAAATTGGCAGATACATTAGCCAGGAGCTCGTGCAATATTGAGGGTGATGAAAAAAGCAGTGTTTATCTCCCTTTAAAGTAGGGAGGAGGTAATAAAAAGTTGGTGTGGTGTTTTTTATGTTTGTTTGTTTGTTTATCAGCTTTATTTTTAATATCAGTTTGATTAAAATAAATAAATGACAGTACTTGCAAACCAGTTATGGCAGTCATATGTTATTTTTATGCACTATATTTTTCTCCAAAATACTGGAACATTTCAAAGCAGAGGTGGTGTAGTGCAGATAAATTATTTGAAGATATATGATATATGTATTTTATCATTTAAGTATGCAATGAATCATTTTTGAGGGTAATGGATACATGCAGTATTTAGTATCTGTATACATATGGTGATAATAGCTGACTGTGACTAGGGTCACTTATTTCTTATTTTTCTTACTGTAATTCTATTTACCTAGTTCCTTGTAAGTGTGAAGGTGAAATGTTCATCAGATTCATAGATGTTTAGAAGTGTCATGGTTTGGGGTTGGGGCCACCCACAGACAGGTAACAGATGCTTTCTGTTAACCTCCCTTTCTCCCCCAAAGGGAAGGAGAAAGGGAATAAGGGAGAGAGACTTATCAATTAGAAAAGTGAAACAGCTTTAATACTACTAGTAATAGTAATACTGATAATAAAATGGAATATGTACGAATATATATAAAACTGGTATTAAATCAAACTCCCCACCCTGATGGCAATATGTCACCGTCACCCCTGGCTGGGGAGCAGCCCCTAGGGAAAAGTCCCAGGCTGGACTCAACTGGGGCAGGAGCTGGATTCTGGAACTGAGTTCAGGAACACAGGGCTCAGGATCAAAGGCAGGAGGGACAGAGTCCTCCTCAGAGGCCGGCCACTGCAGAAGCAGCAAAAGTGAGGAGGAAGGTGGAAGGGTGATGGAAGGGGCTGCCCCTCCTGATCCTTCAGCTTTTATACTGAATATGAGGGATATGGGATGCAGTACCCCACTGGTGAATCTTAGGGTCACTTATCTTGTCCGCTTCTCCCTGAAGGTTTGGCTTTACTTTGTGACCCCCTCGGTGTGGTACACAGGCTTTAGCAGTGACCCTGGCCTGCACACCAGTCCTTGGGAGTGACTCTAAACATGGAGCACTGTCACTGCTAAGAGTCTGAGAAAATATGCTGCTAACTTCAGACAGTGCAGTTAATTAGAAGAGCTTTAGCTGAAAAGTAACATCATTAAACAGAACAATCTCTGTTCTACCCCAAACCAGGACAAGCAGCTAAATTCTCAGGTAGATCTGCCTGTGCTGTAGCCCAGATTTAAAAAGAACTTTTACCATACTGTCATGTGTGTGTTGCTGTGCGTTAGCCAGGTGTAGGTACCTGAAATGCAAGAAGAGAGACTGTCTCAACTGTATTCTCAATGGCAGGCAAATTTAATTCTGACTTTTTAGTAACTAGTGAGAAATATTAACATAGTTTTTGTTCTCAATACACATATACATTCTGTACTTTATTTTTTTAAGGTGTCAGAGATAACAGATGAACTGGCTACGTTGCCTAAAAGGGCTCAGTTGGCAGCTGCGTTTATTACCTATCTGTCTGCTGCTCCTGAGGATCAGAGGAAAACCAGCTTGGAGGAATGGACCAAATCAGCAGGCCTTGAAAGTAATTTTGTGTCTGTGTGTGTCTGCTTGTGTCTCTGTGTGTGTGTAAGTAATCAAGCTTAACTGAGAAAGTAAGAAATGATAGGGAGTTCTAATGTACAGATCCAATTCTCGTGGTGTCCCCAGATGAAAAGTGACATTTCCTTACTCAGTAATTACTTGTATACATAGGCAGGCTATTTCTTAGGATTATTCTACTAATAGTTAATATTATAAATACTTAAAAATTCTCAAGATTTAGCTCCATAATACTTGCATAAAAAAAAGTTTACATGAATGAATGTACTGAGATTAACTGTTGTAAATTTGCCAATTCATTCTGAATGCTTCTGCTTTTTCACTAATCGTTTTTATCTGTGTGTTAGTAACACTATTAACTATTTTTTTTTATAACATCATCTAATTGCTAGTAATAAGTTCAAGCAATAAAATAATAAATTTAAAAGAAATCTAAGACTTACACTGTTAGAATCTCTACTGTATATAAATTTGTAGATGCTGAAAGTGCAAAAGCACTAAACAAGCACAGTCTTAAAACATACCTCTCTTATGGCATTGATGCTGGAAATGCAAATGTAGACCTACCCAAAATGTTGGGCTGTTTTTGAAGTCTTCACTTGCACATTTGATACTTATGCAGTATCAGAATTATGCAGACTATAAATACAGATGTGAACTTAACACTCTTTAAAACTCAGAGTTTGATTTACGGCGGTTCTTGTGTACAGAAAGTGAAGAGTTAGTCTGGAAAAGTGAAGGTTTACCTTCAGATGACCTTTCAATCGAAAATGCTCTTGTCATCTTGCAGGTAAATCTGTTGTTTTTTTGTCTTGTCTTCGAAGTATTTCAGTGTCTACAAATTTCAGTAACATGGCATCTTTCTGAAATGTTGAACTATTCCATTTGTGTTATTTTATTAGCACCATAGAATACACACAGAGAAACAAATACTTATGTAACTCTGAATATTCTATAGTAAAGAGAAAAAAAAACCAAAACATTTAAAGAAAATACATGGTTATCATTTTTACTTTTACAGTTTTCTTCCAGTTGTTGAACAGACAAAACCTGGTGTCAGTCTGTTCGGGTTTGAAGTGAAAATAAACATTAACACCAATACATGTTACTAGGCAATATCACCAGTATATTCTGCACTGTAGAGTTTGCAATGTTGAGACCTGAATTTGTTTTTGATTAAAATAAAATGCTATTTGTGTCTTCACGCCTGCAAAATACTTTTATTCATTATTCTTTCTAAAATGCATTGAGGTCCAAAACCGAAAGTACTGTACCTTTGTCCACTAGAGGAACAAAAAGGAAAAATAAAACCTCTTCTAAGTTACAAACCAGTTGTGAATAACACGAGCTGTAGATTATACTCATTGAACAGACACTCCTGTTTTTAAAAGAAAGTGAAGAAGTAC